CAGTACGCCGCCTAACCCGGCCTGCTTCACCGCTGTTAGGTGCCTACCCTTGTAAAGTCCTTTCTTCCTTCTTCAGCTTAGAATAGTCAATCGACGGCACCTCTACGTTGAACAAGCCTAGGGGCCAGCCCCTTACAGTATTGACCTCTTGCGCAGCTTTCAACACTGGGAATGCCCATTATGCCGTCCGAAAGTTACCATCCTCTCCGACCGATACATATTAGACCTGGTTGCACTCAAGCTTCCGGCCGCCGTGTGCCAGAGGGCCATCTCGAACGGATACGGATTTGAAAATCGTGAGCGGTACAAGAGTGGATTTTTAGTACGAACTTTGAATCTTCATTTTTCACTTTTGATCCATCTTGACCTCTCGGTGTATTTGCCGACGTAGACAAGGCGCCAACCACTGCCTCAGCCGGAGATCCGTTCTGTGTCTTCATGGTGGTAGAGAGCCCAGCATGCACCACTTTGCCCGTTTTATCAGCATTGTTACATGGCTACATTTATACATCACAGGCCCTTGGTCTCACAGTTTCTGGTCAGATGAGTGTTCGAAGGGCAGACTCGCATCATCCTAGCAGGAACACTGTCACACAAATTACTCCATAAGACATGAGCAATCACATTTGAGCACGTCGTAAGTGCAACGCGTCTAGTAGTATTTCTTAAACTATGGTAAACGCATATTCAGGCAGTAGGTACATCCATCGTGCTCAGTTTACCACTCATGGATCGTCCATACCCGATCTGTGGCACAAGATCTGTAGCGCATCATGTTGGTAAAATAGTATGCGGGTTTTCCATCAGCTTCTGTGGCATTCAGAAGAGCCGTGACGTGTTCGGACAGCCAGAATATCTTACGTATACCGCATTACTCAATTCTCAGTGCAGATTCCTCAAGAGACTTGCATCGATTGCAGATGCAACAGAAGTCTGGGTGGGTCTTTTGCACAAAATTGACACTACCAAAGTGTTATTCTGGTGGTTTCAAGGCACAGCCTGATAAACCCGTCATCAAATGGACTTAGTTAAACTGTGTCGTATCACAAAAAAGACAAAGGATTCACACCCTATTGTTCTTTAGTGTTGTTTCAGTGCTTATGGGTGTGGTCCTTTCCCAATTGGTGTGCTGACGTGGTCCAGTAAGCAATGGATCATTGGCGATGATACTAACCGGCCGGCACCTGGAGGTATCCTGTTACATTGCATAAAAGCCCATCATCATTCAAACATACCTCCATGTGACTGCAATAAACCTCATACTGTATTGCTTATCGCTCAATTCGTCAACTAGCGAATATACCTTACGCAGGAAAGGGGGCACTGCGCACCACCATTGCTGCTAGACCATATCAAGCTAAACAGAGTACATCCAGTAACTTAGTTTCCAATCAGGCTCTCAGGTCATCACGTCTTACACGTATGGCTATGGTGGTGTGGGGTCCTTTCGGTGAAGAATCGAAACAAGGTTGGTATGGCCAAACGACCGAAAGGCCCCTGCATCGCAACGCACTTGGTTGCCTCAACTCAGCTTTGGCAGGCAAGATGCGCCTGCGCCGCCATTCCCTCTCCCAGATATTTATGCCTTTACTTCACCCACATATATCACTCAACTTCCCTCATAGTATCTCTAGTCAGAAGTAAAGTTTCTTGGTGGACTTCACTCCCAGAGTCATCAGATCCCATACTTTTGCTGTAAAGCCTTCTTTCTGCTACCAATCCTCACCCTCCCAACAAACCAGACACTCCACCATCTGTCGTCTTAAATTCTGCAATACTACTTCCTGCAGTACCCAGCATATTCCTCAATAAACCAATCAGAATGTCGCTACCAACGCAAACCAGTGACCGACAGATTCCTTGGGAGGCCATGAAAGAGATTATTCGAGGTCTTTATCTCGTCGAGAATCGCACGCTAAAAGATGTCATCGACGTCATGAAGGAAAAGCATGGTATCTCTGCTACGTAAGGAGGCATTGAACACCCATTTTGAATGAAAGTCCTAACACATCTTGGCGCAGTGAGAGAATGTACAAAAGGCGGTTCAAAAACTGGGACTGGCCGAAGTACAACACAAAAGCACGCCGAAACCCTGACAAAATCATCGAGAGATTCCCAGGCAGAGCCAGGGCCACATGCAGACGGGCACATCGGCGCCAACTGGAATTTGCGAGCAGCAGCAGTTCGCGCGTCCCAGAGCCCGCTGTGTTGCGGTTTTTCGAAATTTGCCATGTGAATCGGGTGGCAGAGCTCAAGTACGTGCTCTTCTCTAATCTCAGAGATCTCATCCTGGGAAATTCTCGGCTCGACTCTAGATGGAATGAAAGAGGCAAGCATACGTTGCTTGAGCCCTCTGGAGATCGATTGAGTCGCCATTTCAGAAATGCAAAGCATATGCATGGTACCGCAAATGATCGACAGTCGTGGGCTATCTGGCGACAATCCTTTCGACGTCTTGAACGCTTTGTCGAGGACCAGCCGATTGAAACTTATCAGGCGTTTTTCTTCGACATCCCACGCAAGCTACCGACCGAAGAACTGCTGGGAACATATTTCTGCCATCTTCATCAGTTGCTACAATTGAAAAGAGAGAACGAGCCCATCACACATGTGGCAAAGGCGATGCATCAGCTCAACACAGAAGCACCATTGCAGATTTCACACATAATGGAGGAAATGCACGACATTGCGGCTGATTGCTACGTTGAACTGCGAGGGGAAGACGACTTGACGAGTGTTTCCACCCGCATGCGAGCAATCAGAGTTCGCAATGTCGACAGAGGGTCGCAAGCGTGTGAGCAACTCATTTCGAGCTGCAGCAATATCCTTCAAGGCACCGCCCAACAATTCGGCGAGTTTTCAGACGAAGCGTTGTTCGTAGCCCTGTGGCAACTGGGAGCCGCAAGCCTGTTCAGCACTTCAGAGCGCATCCTCGAGCTTAGCAACAGTATCATCATTCGCCTCGTGTCTTCAAATGGAGGGCGTCATCTAAGTGTATGGGGCCTTGAAGACATGCAACACTACGCGTGGGTCAACTTCAACATCAGCAAAGCTTACGCAGAGCGTGGGCAGATAGAGGTTAGCATACTCCCGTTGAAGGAGAGCATCAAAGCGACTGGGTACGTGTTGGTAAATGCCGAAGATGAAGCTTTGATAGAACGGGCAGATACTCAGCTTGTGAGCAAGTACGGGAAGCTGGAACAACGTCTTCGTATTCTTGGAAAGGTGGCGGAAGCGAACAAGGTTAATGAATACATCACTAAGTCCACATACTTAGAAGAGGAGGAGCAAAACGATCTAGCTGAAAATCTCGATCCAATCCTGGCACTCCCTAATTCCCAAGAGAGGTAGTCTTACGAGCGGGCATTTTGAAGAAGTGGCATATAGACACAGATGGTACAATGCAATCGAGGCACTTAAAGCAAGTATTACATGCTCATCAAATCGGAGGGGTTAAGCGCTTGTAGTGCCTTGATCCTTCGGGACAGCATCAATCGAGCTCTGTACTCTTCATCCCTCCTAACTCTTTTTCCACAGTTTGCCGGCTGTGGATCCACCTCATTGACAGCCTTATGATCGAGCTCTGTACGTAGGGGAAAGCCAATTGATTTGACTGATTTGATCGATGACCCTACAATTATATATATCACCAGGGGCAAGCCTTCCTCGGGTACCAAGAACCGTTTGGCACTCTTTCCTGGCCAAAGCTATTTTTCTCATCAGACCTACAACCTAGGTTTAGAAAGTTGCATGATGGATCCTATAGTAGAAATATGGACGCAAATTAATATGTACATGTTCAGCTAACATCTTTCTCATTTGTCGTTGTGCGCATCCCCGACTAAAAACGGCCCAACCCTCGGCATCAAAAAGTCCGCAAACCCCAACTCAACCCCCTTCATCCGGAGCATCGCATACACCAGCCCCAAATGGAACCCAAAAAACGGCACCGCATACTTCATCAAATACTCCTCCGCCGTCATCTTCAACTCATACCCCCCGAGCCGGAACTCCACCGCATCCCCCTCGTGCCCGTCGACGTCCCGCGTCGCCACGCTGTCCAGCAGCGCAATCGTGCGCTCGCACCGCGCAATCAGCCTCTCCACCGTATCCTCATCGTCGGGCCACACGTGGACTGTGATCCCGGCCATGCGCGTGAGCGACTTCTTGGCGATGTTGGAGACGAGCAGGACGTGGCCTGGCAGGGGAGCATGCCCTCGATGAGCGTGGCGGTTAGGATGGAGTCGGGGGAGTCGGGGAAGTGGAGGGCTGCTTTGGCGAGGATGCGGGAGAGGACGGCGAGGCCGGTTTTGAAGTGGGGGATGGAGGCGTTGTAGAGGGTGATGTTGGCCATTGTGGAGGGCGTGTTGGTGAAAAGGGGTTCAGGGAGAGATTAGGGCGGTAGATGATGAGTAGGACTAAGAGCTTGAAGTGAGAATGATTGTAATCCAGTTTATACAGGGGATGCAACAAAGTGATTGCTAATGAAGACTGTCTCGGAGACTTACACTAACTATGATCGTGGCTCTGAATTACCAATCAAATTCACGGGATCTTTCATCGCCAAATATTCCGAGATAGAAACACTGCTCATCAAGAGGTACTTTGAGGGATATTCAAGATCGCATTACCAATCCTGATCTTTTATGATTTCCAATTAGTTCTTTCTCATGAGGTCCTCCTGGACACAACCCCTTGCATGAGAAGTTGACGGATGCTAAATCTACTGAGAAATTTACCTGGCTCTGTCATTCTAGTGTTCCAGCTGGACATCCCTCAAGACCGTACCTCTCAGTCCCCTTCGTACGCCCTCAAGCCTTTTGACATAATCCAAGCTCGACTCCCTCGCCGCGCGAGCAACAATCATCCCCGTCTCCGAAACGTCGTATTCCGCAATGCAAACGCCAGCCCAAGGCTTCACTGCCTGGTCGATATCCATCGCCTCGGCGTCAACGCCCCTGAGTCTGCGCTGCGATGTATGTCTCTCCACAAGAAGCCATCTCACTATCCCAGGGAATGGCTCTGCTAAGGCCAAGGCGTTTCTGAACACACGTTGCCCGTCGGCAGCGTGAGCCACGTGTGAAATGCTGGCGCCGAGATGGACGAACATCTTAACAAATTCCATCCGTCCGTATGAGCACGCCAACATCAACGCAGATCCCTCAGACGCTCCTTCTTCGTCAAGTCTTGCGCCATATTCCAGGAGCACGCGGGCACGATACAGGTTGTCTTCCACAATCGCGCGGCAGAGAGGCGTAAAAGGGTCTTCCAGAGAAAGATTGACCAAAGCTAACCTCTCCTCTGTTGGAAGCCGCTTCAGTAGCTTGGCAAGGCTCTCTGACGCCCTTGTCTGGGTGAATAACTCAGCCAGGAAGTCCTTGCCGCCGCCGCGTACGATATTTGAAAGGTCAAAGCCGTAGTTCAAAACAAAGCTGGAAAGATGAACATTGCATAGTGCGCAGTGGAGCGGCGTGAGATTCTGCTGATCCGGTTCATACGGATCTAGCCCAACAACGAGCAGCCATTGCAAGACGGCCGGATTCTTGGACTTTGCACCAATACCCAGTAGCCCCGTGCCATGTGCATCCCGCACGTGTATGCTGGCACCGTGACTGACGAGTACCTTCGCTGTGTCAAGATTTCCTTCAGCAACGGCGACCATCAAAGGAGTAAAGCCATCTACGTCCCGAAGGCTGCAGTTGGCCCCAACCTGTAGAAGATATTCGACAGCCTCGACAAAGTTGTTGCCGGCCGCTTCGTGGAGTGGGGTTGTAGCGTTGCCATCGGACAGATCGGTGCCGTGCGTCACCAGTATCTGGATGATTTGCATGGATGTCGATGATTTCACCCTAATTGCCAGGAGCAGCGGGGAATCGCCCTTTTCGAATTCCGGCGAAAACGCATCGGAGGAAATACGTTGGTTGAAAAAGTGGGAGAGAACCTTCTGCTGATTGTGCGCCCAGGCGCGGTCTGGGTTCGTTCGGTCAGTGATTCGAAACTGGCCTTCCGGCACCATGTCTTGGTATCTGGAGGAGTACATCTTCAGGTGCGCCAGAATAGCCAGCAAGGCGGCATTTGCAGCCCCATTCCTGCAAATGGCAGCATAGTGTATCGGACTTATCGGGTGTTGATACCAGTCGGTGTGAAGAAGGAGAAATTGGACAATTTCGTGTATGTGCCGCTTGGGAGATCTCTTCTCAGACAGGCGATGTACAGCCAAGTGTAAGACAGTACATGGGTGAAAGTTCTCATGCGCAGATGAGGGTGGTGCATGGAGATGACGAGGACACTGCTTAGTCATGACTTCTGGTCTCATGCCATGTTGTAGAAGGCGAAGACAGGTCCTGTAGCAGCCCGACCTGAGTGCGAACACGACAGGGGAGCATTCTCCGCAGGACAGCCTAATGTCATTCAAGGCTGCAGGATCCAGATACTCCAAGACTCTTTCGCAGGTCTTCCATGCTGTCTTGTCTCCCTCTGTGATCAGTGCTTCAAGAATGGCCCCAGCTAGGTGGCCCCGGGACGCCTGATCTTCGTCTGGTGTTTGTGTGAGTCGAGGAAGAAGCGTCGTCAAGTAAGGGGCGAATAGCACAAGCAACACCCCGTAACCAATTTCAAGAGCACGCAAGAAAGGTTTCTCGATCGCCATCTTCGCCGAGCAAGGCTTCAGCAACAAGCGCACGGCCTCGGTATCGCCGGCCTCAACGGCGATCATGAGCGGTGTCCGGCCTTGGTAATCTTCTCTCGTAGGGTCCGCACCATGTTCGATGAGTACTCGCATGCAGGATGTCGAGCCGCCGAGGGCGGCACAGTGGAGGGGCGTCCATCGCTCATGCAGCGTGGCTACATTGGTTGAGAGTCTGAGTTCCTTGATGTAAAAGTCCACAATAGCCTCGTGGCCGCCGATCGAGGCAATGTGTAGGGCGTTGAAAGTGTTTGAGATGACGGTACGCTTAGACCCGGCAACAGACTTTACCTCGAATTGGGAAGTACACGTTCTAGCCCAATAGATATCCGCATAATAAAAGTTCTTCAGGCATACGACAAGACGGAGGGACCCAACTGATACCGCTGTAAGTGCCGAGTCTCTACCGGATGTATCGGTAGCTGAAGGGTCTGCACCGTGTCTGAGAAGCGTCCTGGCACCATCGATCTGGTTGCCCGAGATGTAGTTCAGAACAATAGGGGTGCCACGGACTCCAACGCCGGCATTTGGGTCGCATCCATAATCCAATAGGCAGGATAGCTTCTTATCTCGTGATGATACCAAGTCCTCCAACAGCCATTCTAACAAGCCGGTCCCTCCCTCTTCGACCTCATTGAGCCGTTCTACTTCCGCGTGAGATAGTATATTCTCGAACATCTCAAGATTGCAGCGAGATGTTTCTTCACCCTGACACGCCACTTCAAGCGCTGAAGTACCATCTACCCTTTCATGGACAGAGATACCCGCTTTTAGAAGCTTAGGCACAAGGTCGCCTCTGCCTTGCTGTATGCAAGCCTTGAGCAACGTGATGGCTTCGGCGGAAGCCTTCAGAGAATCTTTGAAACCCGACGCCTTCAAGATACAGCCAAAGACATCCCCCATCCATGGCGGAACCTCGGAATAAGTGGGTAAGCCTTCAATCCAAGTGTAAACGATGGGAAACAGTGCCGAACTTTGCGTGGAGGTTTCGTAGTCGGCTAGTGCCCACATCTTGACTAGAGCATTGAGTGCCGTCAGGATAGATGGTCCAGCATCCAACCCCTCTGGCCAGCGAGGGCTCCACTCGGCGATCACCGTCGTCACGAAGCGTTCCCAGAGGCCAGCCCCAGATGCATTACGCGAGACGAGAACATCTCGCGTGAGGAGACATTCGTACGCTGAAGCTTTGAGCGGCTCAGAGTACGCTGGGTGGTTCCGGGCTTTTTTCGAGAGACGCCCACCCTTTTCGAGATTGAAAGCGGCAAAAATCGTTTCCGCTGGTGACAGTCCACGATTGTCTAGAGCCGGCGCTTTGCAACCCTTCTTGAGCGTCCGTACAAGCTCTGGCGTTGCAGATGCGTTCAAATAATGTAGCACAGACCGGCCGTGGTCGTCAACAGCATTGGGGTCCGCACCAAACTCGAGCAGGCTTGACGCCAAAGCTTCAGAGCCCCATTCGGCTGCTAGAAATAGCAGAGGCTTCGGGCTGCGAAGATAAACCGGGTCTTTCTTGCACCACTTGAGGAGATGCAAAGCCCCGAATGGTGGTTTTGGTGACGACTTGGGACCTTTAATCATCTGCTTGAATGGGTAGATGATGCCTTGAGCAATTGGAGTCTGTCCCCCACGCATCCTTGCCCTCAGATTCTGATCCTGATTCTCGTCGTTCTCGAGAAGGCAATTGATCAGATCAATGTCGGAGTTCGCCGCTGCAACGTGCCAGATGTTTCTCCCGTCCTCATCAGTATCAGTCGTTTGTGCTCCATGACTTAGGAGAAGATTGAAGACATCGGGAGATTCAGACAACAACAATGGTGTTTGATTCCTTGGATTCCGGACGTGGACATTCGATCCAGAGTTCAGTATGAGGTGGGTCAAAGCCAGGTCATCGGATTCCACGGCCCAATGTAAAATGGATGTTCCCTTATCCGGAACGTCAGAAGAATCACCGGTCGGGTGCAAAGATGGTATCTCTTTGTGGAGGAAGGCGTTTGGGTCCCAGCGCGGATCTTCGGTGAGTCTTCGAACAACGTCCACCTCACGATCCTGGACTGCCTCCCGAACGAGCGAAGTGTAAGCCTTGGGGGTGATGTCCAGAAGTGGAGAGGCTCGCTGGAGATATTCCGGTACAAGATCGCAAAACCCAATCATGTCGTACACACCCGTGGCTAACATTGACATATCGTTGTAGCTGTCATAGTTGATGACGGCTCTGTCCAGGATTACCGGTAGAACACTGCCAAGGAAATTGAGACAGATTGGGGGAAATGGGATTGGCCAATTTTTCAATGTTGATCTCTCTGAGCGACTTGAGCGAAACAATGTCAGGAAACGGTCGTCGAAAAAAGAGACGTCGGGGATGTGATCCATGATGTTGAGAAATTTCTCTGGTGACCGAAGAAAGTTGCACACAAGAAATGCCAAGGTAGCCAGAGACACAGGCTCGTCTTGACTGGGCCCAATAATTGAAGAATCAGTCCCTTTCAATGCGCCGCCGGCATTCTGGAGAACGACGAGGGTCCCATTTTGATTGATCGGAGTGCGCATGTCTGCTAAGAGCTCCACTGGATCTGCCACGCGTCCGAGGAAAGCATTGGGACCAAGTAAGGCGCAGTAGAACGGTGTTCCCCAGGGGCTCCTCATTCGGACAGACTCTGGGTCGGCAGATATCAGCCACCGGCAAACTTCGGCTATGCCCAACGCAGCTGCGACGTGAATGGGACGAAGCGAAGGGTCGGAAACTTGTGACATCAAACGCACAAGAGGTTTCGTCGAAAAGTTCGGGGACGTGGGATCGAACCGTTCGGGCCACTGTTGGCGCGCGTATTCGAGAACCCAGTTCTCAAAGTTCCCTGTCTTCAGTTTTGGAGAGAAAAGGTGCTTGAAATCGGATTGGAAGGCATACTGTGTCGTTTCGGGAGCAATACTCTCGTCTCGGCGAATACTTCCCCAGTGCTTCTCGACAAGCTTTGGCAGTCTCAGCGCGTACGTGCCATAGGATGGCCGTTCCACATCTCTCTCCGCCAGCTTCGCCTTGTACACGTAGTATTCACCTGGCTTGGCTAGTTGAACATCGGGGCCGCAGATCTGCTCGACACATGCTAGAGCATCGTTGTAGGAGCTGTCATGATGGTGAGGGTCATTCAATGTAGACAGCGCAGGCTGAGGCCGTTGTTCTACGACAGATGAGGAGCCAATGGTGGATAAGCAAAGCTCGAAGTCAAGGTGGTGGTCGGTAGCTGCCGCTGTTCTGAGGCCGCTGAAAATGGCGCGAAGATTGACAAGGATTTTTTCGTCAATAATTCCCCCTTGAGTAGCCTGTTCCAAGTCGCTCAAAGTGCCATCCAATGTGTCAAGCAGGTTGCGACCAGGTTTCGGTCCGTCAAACAGGAAGTCCAGCTCTCGCATGCGGAGCTCCTCAACAAGCAATGCTAGGCTCTGCGTGGCACCGACAAGCAGCCTGAGAGTAGTGACAACATCTCGAAGCGGCTGCGAGTCGTCGTTCACGGCACGTTGGCGAAGCGAGAGGTACGCCGAGAAGGTCTTCGCGTGGACCTCCTCCAGAACCTTGGCCCAATCTCGCTCGGGGCTAGCGTCCATGCTGGCGGCGGCGACGACGGACACCCGTCGGCGAGCCTAGGTGGGTAGTCTGGCTCGGACTCTGTGATTGCGAAGGACATTCGATACCATCCGGAGGCCTGGGAGGTGCGAGATTGAGGCCAATTGAGACCGCGGGGTAGGCGATGGCTTGGGCGGGTGAGGACGTGGAAGGAAGGAGGACGTTTCGTCGTCGATCAAGGGTCGGGAAGTTTAGGTTCCGTCCCGGAGGGCAGTCGCGCTTTCCAGGCGGCGACTGACAATAGGGGCCGCAATCAGGGGCAGGATACAGCACGGCTCCGCCTGATTTTAGCGGTCGGTCTCACAGCTCATAGATTATGTAAGGCGGCATGGCACCACGGGAGCTTGGACCTCCTCAGATTGGGTCTGCATTTTTGGTATTTGGGTGAGAATGAGGTGAAGCTTGCAGGTGTCTTGAGTATTTGACAATACCTCTTAAATAGACTAGAAGTTTATCGATTTGTACGGAGTTGTGCATTGAGGACATGGGATAGGATCTCAGCCTTCAAAGACAAAGTTAGTTGTCAATTTATTTCATCAGGATGTTCGCAGTCAAGCGCCCTATTTTGTATACTTTCGTTTCCCATCAATAGTTTGTAGGAAAAACATTAGTCAATTGTTTCCAGACGGCCTAATTTTCCTGTGCACTTAAACACTCCCATCGGAAACAACAGTAGCGACAGCGATAACGAGGACGAGGACGACGATAACTATAACGATAATAACGACGAGGATAGAAGTAACGACAACAATAAATGCAACGATGACGACGAAAAGGACAACGACGACGCTGACAGGAATGTGATGAGAGTATAATTTCGGACAAAAAAAATGTATTTTACAAGCTGCAAGCACTTGTTCAAGTGTTCATACCTCATCGACCGTGTTATGCAGAATCTTTCAAGATGCAGAAGGGACGAGCGTTTCTGCACTACTACATCATTCTTCATCATTTTGCAGACGGCACAGGTTGCCGATAAGAGAATGTCCGGATCGCCAATGTAGCCATCGGCGCTAGGCGGAGGATTTCCCAGCAGAGGTTTGTTCTCGAGATTAATCGAAGATACTGTCCAGACAGAAGTGCTTTGCTTTGCAAAGAGAAATCTTACATGATTCCCCCATTAACATTGGTTCAGCCAATTTCTACCACCCACCGTATGTTTATTTGATTTCGTAATAAGAAATATGGATCTCCAGACCGGATCAAGCCTGTGTGTGGCTAGCGGCAGCTTAAATAACTGAAGCTGTCAAGTCCGGTAGTTATGACTGAAGGTCAATGACACTGTTATGAATGGTCTCGTGAGGTGCGTTGAGGAGAACGTGCTTTCGTGAGGCCCGGGCTGATGGCATGGCGGCACACCGATGGCCTGTTCCCGGTCCTCAATGACGGAGAGCTTTAGTTAGGTCCCGGGGCTGATGAGCACTCTGTGATCTGAGCTCATGTCCGGGAGCAGAACTGAGTCGAAACTGGTCGTTCGTGGTTTGCAGGTTTCTCGAATGGGAAATGGCTACCATGTTTTCGTTCCACGGAGGAAACTCCGTGGAACGAACCAGCGAGTGGACCTTGAATGACGCTCCAATGTGTATTTAGTGACTAGTATGAGTCCATAGTGATGAAAAGTGCATGTTTCTACGATCAGTGATCGAATAAATCGGTCTGCGCTCTCCGTTCTCCATCTGAAGCGTGGCTCATGCAACATCCAGCCATAGCCATGTCTTGCATTCAAGATGCCCAGCCTTAGATCTCTCCCCCAAGGATGAGACTACTAGTCGGGACTCAGGAGCACGCAGTCTCGCACAATATCCACTGATTGACGCAGGGGTTCCCCACAATCTCACCGGTGCCAGGCGGTGGATGATGGGCGCTTTCAAGCCCTGTCTGTAGTGACTGATGTTCAGCCATTGCCCATCCAAAGGATTAAACTTTGTGACAGAATTGCTTTTCGTGCATTCCTGAAAGTGCCATTAGGTGTCTCGACGGTAACAGACAAGGCATCAACGGCTTAACGGCGGGCGTTGCGCAGAGGTGTGGACGTGGTGTCTACCGGTGAGGCTTGACGGATGAGAAAGAAAGACTGTTTGAGGCGTTGGCAGGAAGGCCCAGCCCTTCGCCCTACGAGGACAGTGTGGCTTGCCATGTGTGGCGAGGTTTCTGGACTGTGCCTCGCTTTCCCCAATTTTTCTCCCCTCCTCAACACCAAGTCCAACACCACCACCACCACCACCACACCAACAATCACTCCGATGGCCAATTCGACTGCACAGTGGAAAAAGGCACCGAAAAAACGACATCTAGCGCGGTTACACAGACCGCCGCCTCTTTCGTCCGAACCTGGCTTCCCGTCTTCCTGCAGCTGCGATCCCTGCAAGCACCGTCTGATCGTATCTCCCGCCCGGACGAGACGAATGATCCTCATCTTCCATTCTTTCCTAAAATCGCCGTCTTCGTCAACATCGCCAGCATGGACCTCTCGCCAGACTTCCATCAGAGCAGGCCGGACTGTGAGTCGATCGCTTCACACCTGAAGACGGCCCCCAAATGAGCGAGGCAGTCAGCCGGGAGGACCAAGACCTGATACACCCGGGGCCCAAACGCACAGCCGTCTCTAGCTCTTCTATTCTTTTTGGCGCGTCGTCTACGTCTTCGTCTCCGTCTCCCGCTCCCCCCATTTTGGAGCTCCTCGTTCGAAGCGACCACCGTTCTGTTCTAGCCGCGACGGTCACCGGGCCACACCACCACCAATTGCCCGCACCACCACGAACTACGAAGGCCATCTCGGAGTCACCTCGCAACCAAATGGAGCCGTCTCGCGGGTACCGTTGTCTCCCGGCCGAGAATGACGCCGCCCCCAACAACCAGACTATTCCGTGATGGGTTCCAGCCGTTCGTCTCCAAGAAGCGACATGTCCCATTGCATCTGCGACATGTCGATGGCAGCCGAAACATTCATTATGATGAAACGCCGGCACGGGATCCCGCCCTATTCCCATCCGCCTGGCCAAATCATTGCCCCCCGTTCGCGTGTCCGTATGGTCCTCGGGACGGATACTGTCAGGGACAATCCCAACACCGCCTGCATGGCCTGCCTTGTTCTCAGCATGCCCGCCTCGTCGCCTGTTGACCGCCGCTTTCTGCGCGTCGCCAAATCCGCACCCACTCAAGCTCTTGTGCCAATGTGCCCACCGGCTGCAGCATGCGACATTCCACCGCCGCCATCGCCGCCACCGGCCAAAGCGTCGCAACGGCGTCGAACCCCTTCATATCATGCCCACGACAGGGACAGGCGTCCCAACCAGGCGGTCTGGGTGTGTCGACCACGCTCGAAATAGGGCCCCGTGCTACTCCATCGTCACGCAATGGCGGGAGATCGCCTACCATGTGGCCCAAAATTCCCTGGTCAACCCTGCTCGTCTCGGTCGTCCTCGCTGCTCTCCGTCATCCCCGCCAGACTTCAGATGGCATGGTTGCCAATCCCTCTGTTTATCTTAGCGCCAACACAAAGCACTCGTCCGAAAAAGAGGCCCGGGATACCGACTTCTCGACGCCGCCACCATCAGCTCGACAAACCAACCATGACGCACGGCCTATTGCTTTTTTTACCACGCGCAGCTGGCAATAGCAACACCCCTGGTGCCGGAGCCTGGAACGACAGACCGATGCTTAGCCTGGCCCTTGAAATCGACAAGGCAGGCAATGCGTCCCCGTTCCGACCTGCACCTGCCCTGCCGACATGCCATTGATCGACGCTTCTCGCGCCTTATACCGGCTTACTGCGAGCGTTCATGCATCTCCCGAGATCAACGTTCACTGTGGGAAATACCCAGGGCCGCTGAGCGGACGCCGTCTGTCGTGTCCGTTTGTTCCTGGGCGAGCTACGGGGTACAGCGTGCCCGACTTTCCCCCGCAAGTTCGTGGCGTCGCCCTAAGACATCCTACTTGCCATGGCGTTTGACAAGCCTGCCACAACACCAAAGAGAAGTCTGCCTGTGCGAGTCAGGATCTGCCCACTGCTGCCTCTTCTATAAGCATCTGGGACCGCCGTCTTTTCCATCTCCAGAGGAACAACCCCTCTTGCTCCGTGGTGGCATGTGGTATCGGCGTCCGTCACTCTGTTTCTTTACTCAAGGTATGATGCAACGGTAGCCTTTGTCCAACGTCTGATTTTGATCTACTTGGAAACCAATCTTCTTTAATCTCATCTTCTTTTCTTCTTTTCTTTTCCTTCTTTCGGCCCAGCCTGCCAGACGGCTATGACAATCACTACACACTCATTTGCAGACGCTCATTACTATCAAATTACAGCAAAAACATGTCTTCTATGTCCAGGAGATCGCCGGTGACGCCACCGTACGACAATGATTACAACCACAGCCCAAAGGGCCTGATGGACCCGAACATGAAGATTACCCCGCCGCCCTCTTCGTGTTTACCAGTCCCTACCATGACTTTCTCGCCGCCCGCGACCCCCCGCAGTGTCCGACCGAGCAAGATGTCCCTCCGTTTGAGAAGCAACTCCGGCTTGACATTACATACAAACGAAGACGCTTTCCGCCGTTACACCGACTACAACCCCGATGGCTCCCCGAGATCGCCAACATTCGGCCCCGGTACGTGGACAAGCCTCGACAGTATCTCCACGAGTTTGCGCCGGAGCTTCGGACCGCCCGTGATGGAAGCGGAGCCAACCGAGACGCTGCCTATCCCTGACTTTCTGGGCCGCGAAGTTTTCCAGATGATTCTCGGCAATGCGCAGACGTCACAACGATTTTTCCACTTCGCCTCGAGCCGCGGAAGTGGTCCCGATATCGAGTTCCTCCTCCGAGTCCAGGAGTATTCCCGTTGCTTGGCGCAGTTTGGAAAGCAGGCTTCATCAATGCCGACGCCCGCCAACCTGCCATCCACTGTCAGCAAGTCACTCAACGCAGACATGAAGCAACTGACTGGATGCGTGTTGCCCGGCCTCGACTCACTCTTTGGAGAATCCAAGCGCTGTGTAGAACAGAGAGTTGCGCGCTCCATTTTCCCTGCCTATGTCAAGTATCAGCTGGCTCTCTGCACTTCAGCTTCGTTGTCGGGCATCCGTGGTCCCAGGTACCCCGGCCTTGGCGAGTCTTTCTGTCTCACCGATGCCTTGAATCCCGAGAATCCCATCGTCGCCGCATCGGACGCTTTTGTTTCGCTCACCGGCTTTTCCAAGATTGAGGCTTTGCCACGAAACTGCAGATTCCTCCAAGGTGGCCTTACCGACCAGGACACCATCAAAAGGATTCGCGAGGCTGTGGTGCAAGAGGAGGAATCACTTGAGCTAATCCTCAACTATCGCCGCGACGGAACCCCTTTCTGGAACTTGCTCTTCACCTGCCCACTCACAGATTCCTCCGGAAAAGTCCGCTACTACCTCGGAGGACAGGTTGATGTTTCAGACCATGTCACCGGCTACAAGGACCTCGTTCGGGTCCTCAACTTCGGTCCGGCGCTGGACGAAACACCGAAAGACGACAACTCGGGTCGGGAATCTAGAAGCAGCCGGAGGATGAGCCGAACTAGTAGCCGTGACCGCAAGACGGAACGTCGGACAAGCCTCCGCAACAGGGATAGTCTCCACAACAAAGGACCCAAGAAAAGCCTCTTTCAACCATTCCGGAAGCATGCCACGCACAACAACGGCGGCAACAACAACCAGGAAAACGCGTCACCGTCGCAGGGAGTGGGGCTCGGACTTGAGCAACTCCTTACCGTTGGCTCAGAAGAACGCCTCTCTCTTGGCTCCCAGGTCGAAACCGTTTACGAGGCGTACAGCCGCTTCATTGTTCTTCAAAACACGGAGGGTCCGTCTGGATTCCCGCCACGCTCGTCGTCATTGCCAGCTGATCCGAGCAAGCGGAAAGCGCCTCAACTGAGCGTCGCTTACTGCTCTGCCGCGGCACTCGATGTCCTCGGTCTGGGGCCTGTTGCTGACAGCATCACGCACCGGGACATTTTCACAGTGCTGTCCGAGCTGGCTGACTCGCCGTCCGTCACAAAGAGTTTCAAGAACACGGTGCGCGAGCGCGTCATTCGGGACGGCAAGGCCGCCACGTTGGACGTTATGCTGGGAGGCGGGTACCTCGCCCGCAAGGGCAGTCTCATTGGTCTCGGCGGGGGCAGGTCCTCGAAGGACGACTCCGATGGAAGTTCGAAGAAGCCCGGGAGGCCCGTCAGCAGGTCTGGGTTTGCAAGTCTCGTCGGCGAGGCTGGGAAGATGGAGAAGCTCACCACCTATTGGACTCCATTGAAAAACGTTGAAGAGAAGGTTGAATGGATTGTACTCATCATCACGCCCATGAAATGAGGCGCGCACAAACTATTTTATATGTAATATTAATGTATATAACGCAATGGAAATATGGAGGGATCAAGCAGGATGCGGGACAAAGGTTTATATAGATACCACCGAAACACCTCCGCCCCGGCGACGGTCAAATATATCAAACATGACAATCGCAAATGCGGTCCTCAACGATCGTCTCTACGTTTTCACAGGTCTACCTTTTCACATCCTCTTCTTCGCCGTCCAGAACTGTGTTACTGCTCACCCCATCAGTAAAGAGTACAATTTTCACAAGGAAACTTCATGTCTGAACGACAGAGACTCACCATAAGTGAACTTCAGTAACGTGTCTAGCTGATCAGCATACTGGCTGTCAATGCTCTTTCTTGACGCATGGTCTACGTCGAAACCGAGCAGATCTGCAAGCTGGAGCACTTCCTCGGCGGAGAGCTGGAGAGCGGTGTGGGTACCCCATTTGAGCGCTGTGTGCACACGTCAGATGACAAGACAAGGGAAGGCAGAGATACAGTAAACGCAACATACGTCCAAGGTTGACCCAGACCCCACCGGGCTTCAGCAGCCGATGTATATTACTCAAGAAGTCGATCACGTTGTTGGATATGTCGATGAAGAACAGCGTGACGACGGCGTCGAACTGTTTGTTCTCTGGGAACTTTTCCAAGAAGTCGCCCTCGACGAGCTTGACGGTCTTGTTTGGCCAGTGGTCCGGCACCGTCACGGCGGAGTAGCGCGAGGACGCGTTGGCCTGATGAGTCCATTTGGTAACGAAGGGGTGCAGAGTGTGCTGGTGGAGGGAGCTCGTGTGGTTCGTGAGGAGGTGGTAGGCCAGGATGGATCCGTAGTCTAGCTCGTTGGCCGTGACGTCGTACCCTACGCCGTATGTGAGACTTTTTAAAGGCAGCGAGACTTTTAAATCAGCCGGTGATGGAAGAACGCACCTAGATCAGCAATTTCGCTTGCAAGCCTACCCATACCGCTCCCGGGCACAAGCACCTTTTTCCCGTCCCCATTCTCGCCAAAGTGTTGCTCGAGCCCAGCCAGCACAGGCGGGAAGACGGCCTGTCTCTCCTTCTTGCCCTGTGTGCTCCAGTCTCGAGAGAGGTGCCCAAACGCCAGGTCTACAAGGCCGAACTCAGCGTCTTCGTGGTCTTCCAACGCCGCCTGAGGGTCAATGTGGTAATGTGCCCTCGCGATCTGCGCGACCTGTTCCGTGAACTGGGCGTTTACATCGATCCCCTGCCTGGCGTTCTCGAAGTGTGCGGGGTATTCGAGCTTGTTGCTCAATGCCTTCTGCGCGGATGACTGCTTGGAATACCGCGCGTGCTTGCGCTGGAGGACGCGTTCTGCGAGGAGGGGGTATTTCTCGAAGGAGGTGATGGCGTGGGCCAGTCCATCGGGGAGGGAGGAGTGTCTATGTTTCTTCCTGCCTTCGGGTCCTGCATGCTCGCCGGCAGATTCAAAGGTTTGGTTGGTTGATGCGGGAGTGGTAGCAATGGGAGAGGTGAGCGCGACGTGAAGAGCTTCGGCGCGCGAGGAGAGGGAGGAGATGACGACAGCGACGTCAGATAAGGAAGAATAACCACGGATGGCGAGGTAGAGAGGAAAGACGATGAAGAGGCAGAGCGCGAGGAAGCGGGAGGGATAGATCGAAGTATGCATGGTCGTGATTGTGGTTCCCATATTGACGCGAGTGGAAGACCAGTTCTTCCTACGGTAGGGAGTGGGAAAAGGTTTGATGAGAGGATAATGCAGTGAGAAGGAAAGACCTCCTGGGAAATGTGAGATGGAGCTGCAAACTTGTGCCCCAATGGCTGCTCTGCTGACTGAGACAAGGATGATCGCATCCATCATTAATGGTGACCAATCCTGCACATGCTGACTACATGGGAGATTTCTTATATTCCCATCTATTAGTACCGCAACCACCATTACCAATTTAGTTCTCCTCCGAGTCTACCTTTACAGTCCAAACCACTTACGATAGCCATGGGTCGCTCGATTTTGTTTCTTTGCCTACTTGCCGTTCTCACAGTCTTCCCCAGCCGGGGACAAGCACAACGGTGCAGCAAGCTACTTACACGTAAAGAATGGCGGACGTTGACGCATAGCGAGAAAGCCGACTGGGTGGGAGCTGTCAAATGTTTAGCAGACATACGACACGAGCGGCTGTCTTTTACGCCGGACCAGACGGTTCTCGAGGGGAAGAGGAGTCTGTATGACGACTTCTCTTACTCCCACGCAGCAGTAGAGCACAGCGCACATAGAAATGCCTACTTCCTGCCGTGGCGTGAGCCTCTCCCAGAAACACACACCAGACTTGGTAATCGCCTACTCACGCGAGAATAGACCGGTGGTTCACCTACATTTTCGACTCGTCCCTCCGCCGTACTTGCGGGTACACTGGCCCAACGCCATACTGGGACTGGTCGCGCGATCACGCAGACTTGTTCAGCTCGCCCGTGTTCGAGGACTCTACCGAGTACGGGCTAGGCGGAACGGGTGACTGCGACTCCTCAGAAGCCGACTGTGCCGTCGAAACGGGCGCCTTTTCTAACTTGGAGCTCGCCTGGCCAGTCCCGCACCGACTGAGGAGGAATCTCACCCTCATCACCGGCTGGTTTGAACACGAGCTACCTCAAAACCGCACTCTGGGCCCGGAATTCGTGCGCAACTCGACCGAGCAGACCACTGGCGACTTTTTCAAGTTTCAGCACGCAATGGCACTGATGCACAACCACATACACAACTTCATTGGCGGCGATCTGGCGGCAGACTGCCCGAAGGTATTGCCGGAGGAGGATTGCCGGGACTTGGCAGTCAGCTTTACGCCCAATGACCCGCTCTTCTGGCTGCATCATGCACAGCTGGACCGGTTGTGGAACAAGGTGCGTGTTGCTTCCCTTTTGCCTTGTTGTTGCAGTAGTGTACAATGTTTGCTGACATCAGATGATGGGGTTGTACAGTGGCAGCGTCACCACCCATCCAACTTCGCCGCTTTCTCCGGAATGCCCCTGAACCCGAAGAACATGAGTGACCCGCGCTACGATTTGGACGCGCACGCAGATCATCGCATGCCTTTCGACGTTCAGGGTGTGCCCGTGGCGCCGAGCGGGGTGTTCGACACGGAGGCTTGGCCATTGTGTTATCGGTATTCGGACGAGGAGTAGAGGGACCGTTGGATCAACACCGCATAAATTTTGTAGTTCATTTTTGGACATTCGCGTTAGACTCATATTGAGTTGAAACGAGAAAATGTGTTTGGTTTCGTACATACTCTCTTGAAGAACTGAAAGAATGCAAAGAATAAGAAAACTCAACACATTGATATTTGTTCAATTTTTCAAACACTTCATCAATCTGTTAGTAGTCTGGCCTTCACACCAGGCAGAATCTCTATAAACTGGACTCCTTGATCCTTTCATACATCTCGGGTGTCCACTTCTCATGCTCGCTCTCCATCCAATCGTGCACCTGTCTCCAGTCCCGGCAGGTATGCACAGTTCCTCCGCCCGTAGCGACTTTATCACCATTAGGCAGTTTCTTGCTAGTACCGCCTGCCTCTAGAGTCGTGTCGGCAGCGCAGAGAATGCCCTGGCGCAGGTAATGAAAACAGTGCCATGTATGATCCGACCCGTCGTCCCCGTTGACGATAACAGCGCGGATGTGATTTAGGCAGTGCATCTGATGCCACATAGACACGCCGAAGGCGTAGTGCTCCTCCCCCAGAAAGACAAAGCCTTTGCCGGGAGGACGAATCGCGTTCCATTCGGCTGTGGCCGCGATGCCATCCATCCCGTAGTGGTCGAGGTCGTCGTGGAAGTCGGCTTGTATGGTTCGAACCTTGATGGGGAGCTCTCGAGGCCGGTCGCCTTCGAGATATGCTGATCTTGAGTCAGTAATGGTGGTGATCAGACGGCTTGGGATATGAGATATGGCGTACTGTATGCTCGCGATCCGCGGGTCAAGATGCGGAGGGAGAAGAGCAGAGCCCCCAGGTTCAGGACAAGACACACGCTCAGCGCTGCGAGCAGGCCGAGGGAGGGGCCTCGTAATTGGGAGGCAATGGACTTGAGGAACATCTTGGTGTCTTCGTAGTGTTGAGCGTCCAGTCCAGCAAAGAGAGAGCGCGATTCTTTTCAGCGCCAGCAGCGGTCAACTTGAGCTTAACACAACTATGGCCGCATGTATCCGCTATAGGTTGACTGAGAAGTTAGGAATTGTTGTCCGAGGATCGAGGCAACTGCAAAATCGAAAAGGCTATCCCGTTCGTAACGAAAGCAGGTAATTCTACGTAGGCAAACACTGGGATTACCCTTGAGACTGTCACTTACTGTACTCTACTCTGGGCGTGTTGCTTGTGAAGTTGCCGGTCGATCACGTCAGTGGAGCATCGCCCGGCTAGATAGATGGGACAAAAGTTCTAAATCCTGTTGACAGATCATGCAGAGAGCTTACCATCTGGACGCCCCGGCCCAGCTAGTGGATATCTCAGCCAGCTCGTCACAATGCTGCTTGATCACGCTAATTACCTATACCAGAACGATCGCGTGAACCTTTAATTGACTCTGTAGTGAGATTGTACTTACTATAGCCTATCATTTACTTCTAGAAATGTTGTATCGCTCTCTCGCCGTTAAGACCAAAAACGCAAGTCGTACACATTTTTGAGCTGAATGTCTATGAAGGCACTTCTGCTGACTTTGGTTCACGTCACCCCCGTTATTCAGAACATGATTGGTGAGACTACGAGGCGGCTAATTGATTCCCTAAACGGCTCATGCGCAAAGCCAAACCACTTTCTGTACAGGTATGCCCTCTTGCATATTGATATCCTAGCAGGTAGCGACACGTGAAGATCCCCTTTCGACTCGATAAAGGCCCATGCATCCGAGATTCCGAAAGTAACATCTCAAACTATCTGCGGGGACTTAATCTTAACATGACTGCAGGTTTAGCGCGATTCAACGCTTCCTTCCGATCGCCATCCTCCAATCGGCAGGCGACTACACCCGTGCCGCTACGGCACAGATCTATGCGCCTGCTTCCATCATGGGGTCCACGGGCTATTACCTGCCAAGGCTGACGGAAGATGGAGACTTGACATCTTGGCCAATGCTTTGGGAAGCTTGATGAGATCAAGGCGAACCAAGCCAACATGGCCTGGTTCGCGGCGACTTGGCACGCAATTGACAAGCATTGTCATGCAAGAATCCTTCGCGGCGTTGGGGCGGAGCCTATGAGAGTTACCAACTCGACACCTGCTCCCCTCCGTGCGTGCTCCGCAGGGGCTATTTGTGGGAGGGGCTTTCTGAGGATCATCTTTAGTTCAACCATGTAAAAGCTTGATGGTTGGCTGTTCCGTATGACAAAATTCTGCCCTGGATCTATTTCGTGATCCGGGCAATAACCGGGTGCGGGTGTGAACCCTTGTCACCTGGGCTCACTCAGCCCATCATGAGCTTTCAGCTCCCGCCTAGCTGGGCAAAAGAAATGGGGGCGGGGTTGGGCAGACAGTTCCCGAAAGCCAGTCAGAATCTAGACCATGAGCCGCCAGGCCTGCGGATATACCCGCAAACTACCCCTCTCGTTTCTGTAAATCAGCCGCGTACTCGCGGTTGCAAATGACGAAAGACGTTAGACTACCACTCTTTGCGGCCCTTTAGTCGAGAGAACGGCAGCTCGTACGATAATGCCATCGGCGAAGGACGACGAGCAACAGCTCGTAAGACTCGACCTGTTTCAGCAAGGAGGGAACTTTTGTGCAGCACCATACCTTAGTCGAATCGGCGACAGAGAACGGAATATGCGGGCGGGAGAAGTTACAAGATCAGGATCTAAAGTTAATGATGGTCAATCAAGCGAGTGAAGCCTCACAGGGAAAGGATACTCGTCAAGCTGTGTCGTGGCGGCAATTCTAGCCACTTGTTGACCAAGGAATAGCGAATATAAGTAGTTTTCGCCGGTATGCAGCTCAGTGTCTTTCTTCCCTTCTAACTTTTCTTCTGTATAGTTTGCTACCTAGAGGCGTACTTTATTGTCACGGTCTATGGACCGGTGTTCGGCCTTCGGCAAGACCCTCAGCCACGACTCATTGGACCCACCAAATCCAATGGCGTATTTGCTAGAAGGTTCCAGGAATATCGACAAGGTCAATGGCAAGGTTATAAGAATGCC